TTTTTTTAAGTTTTTAATGAGCCTGGAATCCGCAAAAAACTTAGCATTAGCAAGCATTTTTTTGCGTTTACATTCTTGATTTCTGTGTGCGTTTTCCCTTATATGTTCATGCTTGAATGACCTGCTATTAGCTTCATTGTTCTCAAGAGTGTGTTATGTCGCTTCCGCTAGAATGCAGACAGAGCAGAGTCCTTTTTGAGGCCGATCTTTGAGACCAAATCAATTCTTCATTAAAAAATTCTGCAGTATTCCGAAATATTATGCAGAAAAGCTAGGAAACATAGTTGTTCGAATAGGAAGAAGTGCTGCATCGAATAATGCTCAAAGCGTTTGTTCATCAAACTTTTACGTGAATTTAGGTCAAAACAAACATATTTTCCTTTCGGACGCCTAATAATTTTCTGAAAAGAAAATCTTGAATTATAAATGTTTTTATTGGGGAAATTTTATTAGATCTGATATCATGAAAGCAGTAACTTATATGAGCCCTTACAGTATACGGAAGAGACTTTCTTGAAAGCCGAACGCACAGATCTTGATCCACATTTCGAGAATTTATTACAAAGAGCAGACAAAACTGAGGAACATACACGAAGGCTACTCTCATGCATAGAAAGCTATTTGCAGCCTAATCCTAGTGAGTTATTTTAGTCACCCATTGCTTTTTTTTTCTAAAAGAAGACCTTGCAGCCATTCGCATGGAAGAAGTGTTTTATGAAAAACTGGAGTTAAAGAAGGATCATGCAAGTCGCCTGAATAATTTGGAGTTGATGGCACAAGCTATGAGCGAAGCTGGAGAGGAATTTGGCTCATCAGCACCATATGGTCAGTTTCATATTTGGAAGATTTTCTTTGTTTTTCATGTCAGTTTTCTGAATATATAAGCTTCACTGTATAAAATTTTTCTTTCTAAATTTTGCACATTTTTGATGAAATACTACTCTTTGCACGTTGAGTCTCATGCTTTTATGTTGACATACACGTGAATTCATTTGCAGTTTTTTT